TTAAAATTTAAAATAGTTTTATTTCTCATGCATATCCTACTCGGTTTTTATCTTCCATACGAAGACCGGCAATATTATGAACTAAGCTATAGTATGGGAAGAGTTATTAGAAGATAAAAATATTTTTGTTTGTAGGATATCATAAAAAGAGTAAAGCGTATCAATGAACATATAAAATAAGTATATTAAAAATGCATTTTACAATGAAATAAAAATCTCACGAAGGCATGGTTTTACATATTTAAACTAAAAACAATTAAATATAAGGATATTAAAGAAATATTCAAACGATTACCCTGTTATAAATTACTACGTCTAACCCTAATCGTAAACGTAAAAAATTTACGCTGGGGACGTAAATATGAGGTAAATATGTCTATAATATAATTTTTCTCAAAAAACCCAGTCTATGCATTGTGTAATGCATGTAATTTACAAATATAGGTAAATACAAGTTTGTTTATTATTATGACAGAATGTTCTACACATGCAAGTACTCAATTTTTTTTTATGAACACGAATGAATGAGGCATCTGATGCAATGTTACTACTCTAAATTATACTTCAGGACATCAGACTTTCCTTAACAAATGCTTCACGCATAAGATAACTTTCTCTGTAAGTAACAAACTATTCATATATCCATGTACCTACATGGAAACATTTGGCAATCATTTAACAATGTAATTTTGATGATTATATCAAATTATAACTTTATTTATATCACTTCAACTTAAAACTATCAGACTTCTTCAGAAAATCAATAAATAAATGGTAACAATAGAAAGAGTTCCCGAAAAGCGAATTAATATCACGTGTATTCTGTTCAATGTGAACCTGTTATTCGTAAATTTTATAATTAAAATGAATTTTTGTATAATTTGTACGAAAAAAATGCATTGCGAACTAGTATAGTTTGATTATGATCATTTTTAGAAAGAGGAACAAACTGTATGCTTATCAATGTCAGGAGAAAACTATGAACTTCACTCATACTCTCTATAAAGAAGTATTCAACTAGATACATATTTTTGTACAATAAAATGTGTTATTAGTTTAGCTAATAATCACAGATATAAACATCAAACATAGGGATATGGCACTGAAGTATGCAAGTGATCTTGTATTTTGAAGACTAACTAAGTGCAAATGTTATATTGAAATCAGAGATAATGGTTGAAAACAAAAAATCAATTAATTGAATCTTTTAAACCATCGCTCTAACTTTAATTACGATTAATTTATAGGATCGTTCTAGCGTTCAATTTTTAAACGTTATATTACCTCTTTTTACTTAGTATTTGTACAATGAGACATACTTTATCCAGACATGGGAAAATAAGTGAACAATTTTTAAAAATATATGTTGAATTTTTAAAGCATAAATTATGTAAAGGCGTTATAAATTCGGGTATCGTATTGAATGATCTTTCATGTAACAAAGCTCTATCGTTTTCACAAGTATACAAAGTCTAAAGTACGTTTTTTTAATTTTATGTGCTGTTCTCAATTTTAACCTGAAATTTTCGAATACATATACCTAGCCGTAGTTTCTATATTATGTAAAGTAAAAAAGTTTTAAGTCATAATTAAAAATGATGACTAGCTATACTACTTGCATTGTGATATCTATGTGTATATTTATAACAAATAACACTGTTCTACGTATTATGAGGACAGTTTAAAAAATTGAAGGAAGTTGATGTTTCTCGTTCTACTCTTGTATGGCGATACAATTATTTCTGTCATTTGGCAAATTTATTGACATCACATTCTGGAGTTACATATTTCCCTGCAATTCTTGAATATAAGGAAATAATTAATCTGAAATAAAAAATATTTTATTTATTAATGAGCATTGTATAAATATTTCCTTATTTAACATGTAATTTTTATAAATGAATAAAATGAACTTTTATAGAAAAGAAAATATTTTAATATACATACTTCAAATATCTTGTATAAATGTAATTTACGTGTAATGTAATACAATAATGTATTAATATTATGTCCTTTTTTAATCTTACCTATTCAAATATTTTTTAGAAAAATGTAATTTTGTGATCAGCCTGGTTTTCTTATTTCTCTGAATTTAAATAATTTTAATTCATCGAACTGAAAAATATAAAATGGTTATTAAATTGTTAAACCTAACGTGTAAAATGTTAGAGTAATCAAGACAATGTTAATTGTAATTTCATGCATTATAATAATTCACGTATTACTATGTAATATAATTTTAAGATTTGCAAGTCTA